CTTCCGAAATTGCCCAGTTCATGAACAACTTCGCTGCAGCGGGGTGCTTAGCCTTCGAGAGGATGCCAACGCGCTGACCCCAGCTCAGGTACTCCGTACCGTTGCCACCCACGAATTCGATCGAACCACCGCCACCGCCAGTACCAACACCAATCAGCTTTTCTCCAGAGCTAACAAGATCCCCTGCAACATTCGACCCACGGTTGAAGCTTACGTTCTGCTGAGCCAATTGAGACACCCAGTCCCAGCCATACTTCTCGACGTAGCGAGTGTAAAGGAACAATACTGCGTCGTCGTCGTGGGGATAGGATGAAGCGATCTTGTTAGTGTATTGTGGGTTGATCAGGTCCGTGGGGATAGTAGGCGCGGCACTACCGTTGAGTGCATTTGAATTGTAGACGTATCCGAAGGTGAAGATAGTGTACGCTGCCCACGCTCCATTTTTATCCTTCAATGAGTCGTGGATCTTGGAAAAGTTGGCGGGTTTGTAACGGAGGAGATCCCCATTCTTAGCCCACCGAGTGAAGTCTTGTAGAGTCTGGAGCGCCACCACGTCAGGGACCAGTGTGTCAGTCTCCAATTGGTTGTCGATACGAACGTCGTGGTACTTGCTGTAGTCGACGATAGCAGTGAAATTGATTTCCGGGAAGCGTTGGGAAAAAGCTCGTTGAAGTCTGTCCTGTTGAGTTGGAGTGTCACCGCCGTGATACAGGACTAATTTGCCACCTTCTGTGATAGCGTCAGCGTAGAGTTCATCGATGGTCTTGGACTCCTCGCTGGTCTTAGCCGAAACAGCAGTAGTGAAGAGGACGAAAGCGGCGACGAGCGGAGTAAATAGCTGCATTGCTTCGTGGACAGGTGCCAGGGCAAATGAAAGGCTTGGTGCTGGAAAGTAAGTTTAAGAATGACTCTGCTGCTAGATGAAAAGCAGGTTGCTACAACTGTTAAGATGAGTGGATTGCCAACAGTACGAGATTGTCGGTACAGGCATTTGACTTGCTGTTCGCACTAGAATCCGATCAAGCCGACAAATCTTGGCTCACGCCCCTGTAGGTTAGATGTGCGACTAGTGTAACTGCAAAGAAAATGATTTGCACGCTAAGGAGTTGGACACGACCTATTAATCCAGTACATACGGGATCACGTAGTTGGGGTTTAGTAAACAGCGTTAGCAGAGATTCAGATGAGAACTCACGTGTTGTGGACAAGGGGTGATAGTAACCCCGAAACTAATACACCTAATATCATACCACTCCTGGCAATTAATCTTTTAATTATTACCTAATATTTTTTGATCCAGATAATACAAATACTTTGTTATTAATAATACTTTCCATTTTTGATGATTGCGTAATACATCTTCAAGAGACCAATCAAAACTGATAGATTTCGTGATCACGGTGAAGCATAGAATCTCGGCGAGATTATCTCGCTGTATTATTATATTATAGTACATGTAAATCGTTGAGTACAGCTACGATTAGTGCTGAAGTACAGATAAATGTAGTAAACTTGATGGTTGTACATGTCCTTGATGTTTGTACATGTCCATACAATTGAAGTATGAGAGGCTTTTGAACAGTTATCATCCCGATATCGTTTGTATCAACTATCAACAAAAATCGAGACCAGTTGATTCTTGATTTACTCGTTGACGCAAAATAATATGATATTATATTATCCTGGTATCCCAGTAGATAGCGATTCCAACAATAGGGCAACAACATCTCAGCGTTCATATTACATACATGTACAAGGACGACTCAGTAACGAATAGCATAGCGAAGTCTAGTACTATAATACGAACTATTATCTAGGGATTATCCACACTACTTCTGCTTAGGTGTACATGGGTGATACTCTTGACTGAAGAGTCTTCAGTCACAGCTATGCTGGCGATACTCTTCAGTCGATCTGGTTAGGATTATGTGGATGAAAATTTTGAGCTCATCTGTAGTATTAGCTTTGATGTGCCTGCATTATCCCTCGAGTACCAATTCACGTTTCCAAGGCGATGAGATAAGTCACACTACACTGTACATGTTGCTACCCACATTATATCATATATAAGTTATTTGACAACCGAGCATTTTGGCTTCATGGTAGTGTGTATGTGCGTGTAAATACAGTATATGAGGAATTTGACTTGATCCTAAGTTGTATGGATTGATTCTGTACTGTTTAGAGTGCTCCAATCACAATTCTTACTGAGTAGTAACTTTCAAAAATATTAACTACCTTCCTAATACTGATCGATTCGCCAGTTAATACATGAAGTAGTAGGGATCATTTTCTTGTAGATGATACTAATATAAAAATATTACCTAATACTTCAATTACTATCAGCCCCTGGTTGTAGATACTTTACAACAGAAATACTGTAGTAGTTTACGCGATAGCGTGCCAAAATAAGGGACGCAGGAAGGAACAACTCCGTAGCGGTCGAATCCCCAGAAGACGTTGTGATGACGGATGTCACTAACGTACAATCCGGGTCAGAGACGAAAATGGGCAAATCAACAGCTACCTCACCCGATTCTGCCGCCATAATGGAAGTAGATCGTCAAGAATCTGGGTCACAGCGAAGCACTACAATGCACACGTCAAAAACGCAGGACTCCCTGGAAGATAAAGAGCGAGAAAGCGCGGAAAACGCAAGCTCTGCTACGTTGCCGAAGGAGATTGCAGGACTCGAAAGCAGAACGGAAGACACAACCTCACATATCGGTGGTCATGGAATTTCCAGTAAGGAGTTTATTATTGGGCAGGAGCACACACAATTGTCCAGCTACGGTGGATCGCCGGCCACTTCAGCATCGCAATCCAGTGCATCGATACCAGGCTATAGCGCACCTTACTCGTTAGCATCAGACGACATGCAGTCGGACCAACTAGCGCAACGAACGCTCACTACTACCATTGGTGATAGCCAGACGTCTACCGCGAGCATCGAATATGTGGGAACACGACACACAGGTAAGAATCCTATTCAGGCAAACTATTGGCTGGCTTTGTTTGAGGGATCTGAGGTATTCGTTCCCAACAAAGGACAATGTGCGATCCTTTCCTTTTACGCTTCAGTATCCAACCATTCGGGGACTAAGTTGTCACTCTCGCATGGTGTGACGGCGGACGCGAACTGCCACAAGAGAGCTATTTACGCGCTTATGATAGCAAACCTAGAGATTGACTGTCAGTTGGGCATCGTCAAACCGAAGGATGAAGTCCGACGATTGTATCCCGACATCATACCGCCGACGTCAGAGGCGGCTGCAATCGCGCAATTGTGCGCTCATCTTGCACAAGAACGGGAGCGGCCAGTAGACGCGGTGGTCCCAAGTACACACTGGGCAGGTCCGCATGAGCTGCGTGCGTACGCAGAATACAATCGACAACCCATTGTGGTTTTCGATGTCAACGTCCACGGCGACAGTCATGCTCAGATTTACCGCTATCGGAATCACGACTGGTACAATCCGAACACGGGGGACATCGAGTGTCATGAATCCGGAGTCTATGATCATTTGGCAGATGAAACTGCAAGTACGTATCTCCGGACATGCAGACGCTTACATGTGCTCCCAACGATGATGCTTGTAAAACATCATGAACGGCACTTTTATGGGGTTCAACATGGAGAACTGTATCATAAATGGATGTCAGAAGGCGATCCTACTTATGCGGCACAACTCAGTAATCGGTATGACTGGGCGGAACAGTTTCAGCGAAGAGACCCAGAGATCACGGTCGCAGCACTGGATGCTGCTGGCGGAAATGGCATTGGTTTCACGGTCCAGAAAGCAGGAACCGTGTTGGACCTATCAATTGATACTGAAGACACTAACACGGTGCTCCACGGATGCCTCACGATGAGGCAACGACTGGATGTTGTACACATGCGCATGGGATGGAGCGTGCTGGACGACACTGACTTCGATGTGCACGAGCTCGAGCAACACATGGAGGAGGCGGTACAAGATATCTATGTGGCTGCTGGGATGGATAATTATGCGGTGGGCAAATCACGGATTTCCAGTGATGAACGCCATGTTGATATGCAGGTGGAGCGCAGAGAACTCCGATCAAAGGGGCGCATGCACCCAGATGTCTACGAGGTTATTCTCAACTCAACAGCGTTCGATGAACTACCACCAGTCCAGACATTGAAGTGGGAGGTAGCATCTACTGCAAATGACGCCGCACTGCACTTTTGGTGCAAATCTTACCGCCGCCAATACGATATTCCAGCGGACAATGCCACCGGAACCACGATATCGAGCCTTATGGGGTGGTTGACTGGTACATTGCCGGCTTTACGGCACCTCTTTGCGTATCTCCCTTACCCTGAACTTGCGGCGAAAAACCTTTCAAGGACGCAGCTATTGCAATGGGGGAAAGAGGAGGTTTACTTCGAGCAACTGGCGGCGCTGAAGCGGCTAGCAACGGACCCAACCAGATCTTCGGATCTTCGACAACTATGTATCAAGTGGGTTGAATCTATTACGCAGGCGCAGCGAGCAGAAAAATACTTACTAGCCGCAGATGAGGAGAGGTGGGCAAAGGTAGAACGCCAGACTTCGATTGAATACTGCAGAGCCCAACCTGTTGAGATGGCGGAAGATAGTTGGCGCTACATGCACATACTACCGTATGTTGTGCGTCAATGGGGCGCGACAGCGATGGGACGGACGCCATTAGGTTCCAGAGCTCGATGGTACGCAGATCTACCCATACTACAAAGCTTGTGCACCAAGATTGGAGATGGAGATTGGGGGGACGCGGTTTTGATTCCAGCCGGGCTTCTGTGGCAGGAGTGGGAGGAAACGAGATTGTTTCCTACTCCACTCCACAAACGCAAATAAAGGGGCTTTGGGCCCACAACATGCTGATGGGCAGGCCAGGGAACATCAGTATGGAAGCCCCTTGAAGGGGCAACACCTGGTCACAGTGGGTAGACGCAGTGAAGGCACCACCGGAGCACCTCTTGGGAAAGAGCGGGGATGTCGCGAGCACGTTTGCATGTGGCCCAGTCCCATCGCCGCTCAGCGATCACCCTACACGATTTTTTCCCGAAGATCCCGACCGAATCCAAGGCTACGGATATTGAAAATCAATTTCGGGCAGTGAAGAAACAAGCGGCAAAGCGCCGTAAGCAGGAAGAGCGAGCGACACCGGCGGCACAGAGCAACCACCCCTCCCTTCACGAAGCAGATCAAACGTTTGGGTGTGTGACCCAAAATGTGAATGGCTTTGGTTCTTCAGCAGTGAAGATGGGGGAGTGGCTACGTTCCTTTCGCACTTCGGATCGACGTGGTAGAAATGACGTTTACATTTTACAGGAGACGCACGTGGAAGAACGAGAGATCAGCCGGGCTAGCGCCACATTTGCAGGACAATGGGGGTTTCGAACGGGGCCAGGGTGCCCCTTCCGCTCTTTCTGGTCGCCTTCTTGCGAACGCAAAGGAGGGGTTGCGATACTGGTAGACCCGTACGGATCATTCACGGACGTGGGACCAGTGTATGAGCATATGTGGTCACCTCATTTTATGGCGGTGAAAGGAATGATGAAGGGTGAGAAATTGATTGTGGTTAATATTTATGCGCCTCACCAACCAGCGAAGCGTGAAGCTTTCTATCGGAAGCTGACGGATATGGATATACCAACAGGGGTTAAAATGGCAATTGGAGGGGACTTTAACTGCACTTTAGACCCAGTGGCGGACCGGAGCTACTTCCGACAAAGGGATGGCCACGATTCACCCGCGCTACGTATGTTGTTGGAGAATTGGGGGTTAGCAGATCCGGTGGCATGGACAAGGCCGCTAGAGTGGACTCCAGTTGCACTGCGGCAGCACCATGATGCAACGCATACGTACTTTTACAGGGTTGACGGCCATGGCTCTGCAACGTCGAGGCTGGACAGGTGGTACATCACGCCTTCGTTACGAACTTGGGTGGCACAGACGGAGGTAGTTCACCCGGCTACTAAAGCGGACCACGCTGGGGTAAAGCTTCACCTTCGGTCACCATCTGATCCAGTTCGAGTCTGGAAGCCAGCTCGCATTCACCCAGTGCCTGGGTTTGCAGAGATCAAAGTAGCGGAAGCTACGCGAGAACGGCTGGCACAATTTCTTGACGAGATTCCATCAGAAGTTGTGGCGGCAGGGATTGCGTGGGATAGTCTCAAAATTGATATAGCGAAGCACACCCGACGAATTGTGAAAGAATGCCGCAAGAGACGCAGACACTCGTTACAAAAAAAATTGTACCGAATGGCTCGTCAAGATGAACGACTGAAAGAACTTCGGGACGGTCACAGACCTTCGGTGGATTTGATCACGGATTTGATGGACGGCCTCTCGTTGGCAGACGTGGACGGGGACAGCCCTCGAATGCGCCTTCGAAGGGCGATAACGGAGTGCAAACGCGAACGGGCTTCTCTTAGTCAACGAAGACTATTAGCTTCTGCGACTCACTGGGACGGCAAGACCACGAAGCAGTTTTTTCGGAGGATTTCAAGCAAGTTTGCGGATAATACTATTCCACGACTTCGCCCTGCTGAGGGGTGCCCAGCACGCGGTATACATGACAAGGCGGATACATTGGCTGACGCATGGAGTCCAATCTTCCAACAACCGGCTAGGGAATCTGCGCTGGCCGTGAATGTCGCTAGTTGGCTCGGGGAAGCAGAAATAATCCGGCAAAATACTGCAGATGTGGAGGCTGATATAACAGCAGAAGAAGTAATAGCAGCCATCACGGCATGCAAAGAAGGTAAATCGGCTGGACCTGACAAGTTAGGGAACGGTTGGTATCGTCAATATGCAGCGGAGGTGGCACCTATCCTCACCCACCTTTATAACTTATGGTATGCGCATGGAACATTCCCTGCATCTTTCCTGGAGGCAGACATCTTTTGCTTAAAAAAAGGAGGTGACAGTGGGGATCCTCTCAACTACCGGCCGTTAGCACTCCTCAATTCAGATTACAAGATCTTCACGAGGATACTTGCAACTCGGGTGAGTGCTTTACTGCCAATGCAGATCCACCCTAACCAGAACGGATTTGTGGCACGAAGGACGATTCACGACACTATTGACCTCTTTGACGCAGCCCAAATTGCGGCGACACGTGACATCGACCAAGATGAGGCGATAGTTTTACTTCTCGATTTCCGGAAAGCGTACGACTCCCTTGATAGGGCGTACTTGGGGACAGTACTACGACATCACGGGTACGCAGACAGATTTATCAAAGCGGTGAATTGTTTGCACACGGACACTAGTGTACGCTTCCTAGCAAACGGAGCGCGCTCGAGGCAACTGAAGGTCACCAGTGGAATACGTCAAGGCTGTCCTTTGGCACCACTGTTGTTTATACTAGCGCTGGATCCACTATACCGCAAAATTGACAGTGATACCTCGATTCGTGGAATTCGCATCTGTAGTGGAGGAGGGAGTTTCGATCTACGGGTAGGAGGATATGCTGATGACACGGCCAGTTACCTTCATTCACCTCGGGAAGTACCTCGTCTTATGGAGGTAGTTGGGATGTATGCACGAGGAACGGGCTTGCAGGTAAATGAAGAAAAGACGATGGTAATTTCCCTCAACTCGCAATCCCAAGGGATCAACTCCAAGTTGCCTGGAAAACTCCAATTTCAAGCCAGTGACAAACTTGGTCGCTATTTGGGATTGCAAGTAGGCAGCAAAAAGGACTCGGAGGCATGCTGGACTATTGCCGATCGACAATTATGCGTGCGACTCAATTTAGCGTGCCAAAAAACAACAACAGTCGACCAGCGGAGTGCGATAGCGGCAGCGATAATCATTCCGAAGCTACTCTTCATCGGTAGACATGCATGGCCGTCGACATCTACATTGAATCGGTTCGACAAGAAACTCAAAAATTACGTTTGGCATGCAGTATTTACTGACGAAGTGGGTGGCACGAGGGCCTGGCTGGATGCAGACTTGGCGGGGCTGCCGCGGAACCAAGGAGGGCTAGCAGTACCTGACCTCCGCTCTGAGTTAATGGCAATGGCTGCCGTCACCGTGACAACGTGGGCTGTATCAGGGACATGGCAACAACACATTGTCGGAGACATGCTGATTGCTGGGCGCACAGGGGCGCATACGACGTATATAATGCCAAATTGTACTAGGGATGCCCAGCAATCTCGATGGGGAATGGATCTTTGGAGCACGGGACGACGAGTGATCACCCAATGTGGTGGCCCAGCCGAGGTGAAATGCAGAGTGCGGATGGTTGCTTCCTTATTTGCACTGGCCGTCCACTTCGATGCATCTCGCATGTGGTGGGAAAACTCACGCTTGGAATATGATGGCGGTGGTTTACGTGGATCAACATGCTATATGTTCATGAAGACGGAGAAGATGGAGTTCGGCACACAATGTCTCGAGTGGCTACCTTACATTTGCGTCACGGATTTGGTGGTATACACTGAAGACGGCTCGGTATTTAACGCTGCGACTGAAACAAAACTGTTGGCGAAGCCCAGGTACCGCCTCCGGGACGTTATGCATTGGAGAATACACGGACACGGCAGACTGACATTCACTGCACTCTGCGCACGTAGTGGGCAGACTGCAGCGTATCGTGCACAATTTGAACGCTTAGCACAGCTGATAGTTATCAACTTCCCTCGTCTTTTGTACAAGAAAATTGCATCTGCTGAAGTTCGGTATCTGGCGACACCTTCTGATCTGCCGCTCATCGCTGAGCTCACGGAAGAGAATCCACCTGTGCTTAAGACCATAAGTGCTGGAAGCCACCAGCAGTGTGGAACAATTAACTGTCACTCAGAGTTGGAAAAGAGCCTATCGACAGCTGCAGGACAGCGTACTACGATACACTATGTACATCCGCATCCACGAGTTAGCCGCATGGTGTGTTTATGGGTTGGACACCGACGATGGACACAATCTCGGAAGTACTACAAGCAATTCACTACACGTTCCTCCCGAACGCGTGGAATCAATAGCCGTGAGAGACGATCTGGAGGTTGGGCACAACTTAATGATGCGGCGGCATTGGGAATTGGAGACCTCAAATGGGAACATCTAAGGAAGGTACTGGGACTAGGACCATGGGGGGAGCAGCTCTTGTATCGGCTCAAAAACCGAGCATTCTCGATGTATGACGTGAGTAATGGCAGACTTGGATGCCCACATGCGTCTTGCGTTCGAGAAGAGAAGGTGACTGTACACCATGTTTTTTGGGCTTGCCCCGCTGCAGTACAGCTTCGACATGAATTTGTTGGGCGCTGGCAGACGTTGGGACTACCGACTGACAACCTCGAATATGATCTTTTCTCTCTCAGGCTGCGTCAGGTTCCCCCGGGAATCTGGACAATCAATGAAAAACTATTTCCATTGCTCACACTGACTGAGCAAGACAGAATGTCTGAAGGAATTCATCGAGCAGTTGAATGCTGCTGGAGATTGGGTGCAGCATTGATGTTACAGGTCGTGTGGCGTTGGAGGGTA